TGAGACCCCCACCTCTAGGCCCATGGATGAAGAGGGCGCCATGGCCCCAGCCCTGGCCAATGGGCATGCCCCCTACAGCCGGACTCTGAGCCACATCAGTGAGGCCAGTGTGGATGCTGCCTTGGCTGAGGCTTCAGTGGAGGCTCTGGGTCTAGAAAATCTAGCTTGGGGACCTAGCCTGCCTGCACACCCAGATCCCACCCATGGGGAGCCACCTGGTCCTGTTCCTTCTGCTGTGGACCCTTGCCATTCTGCCATAAGCCCCACCCTCAGTACAACAGGCCCTGCCCACACATCTACAGATCCTGCCCTGTCTGCACATCTAGACTTGGTTCACAAGGTCACAGACTCTAGCTCTTCCCAACTGCCAGGCCCCACCCACACCACTACAGGCTCGACCTATAATGCCATTAGCCCTAGCCACAGTGCTCTAAGTGCCACTCACACTACCACAGGTTCCACCCACAAGCCCACGGTCTCTACCCCCTTGACTACGGGCTCTACCCCCAGTGCCACAACCCCAGTCCAGACCACCACAAGACCCACTGACGAAGCAATGCTTTCCACTCTCACTACTGTAGGTCCTACCCCCGATACTACAGGCCCTGTCCAGACCATCACAAGCCCTGTCCACACTGCCGCAAGCCTGACCCATACTACAGCAAGCCCCACCCATACCACTACAAGCCCCACCCATACCACTACAAGCCCCACCCATGCCACTACAAGCCCCACCCACACTACCACAAGCACCCCCAATACCACTGCAGGCACCCCCCATACCACTACAAGCCCTACTCACAAAGCCAGGATGTCAACTCACACTGCTACAAGTCCTACCCCCAAAGCTAAGGGCCCAGTCCAGACCACCAGGATCCCCACCGATCCTGTCACAAGCCCCACTCTACTAACTGTAAGCTCTTCTACTTGCCTAGACCATGCCGTGCTTCCCAGCCTCTCTACAAACACAGACCCCGCCCTCCCAGTTACCCTCACCCTGTCCTGCAGCTACCCAGCCTCCACTCCTTGCACTCAGGCAGACCCTACAGCCCCCAGTACCTCCTACCCAGGTGCCGCCTCATCCAGTTGGGAACCCCGCACAGGTCCTTCCCCAGACCCCCCAGAGCCCATCCTTCGGAGCCCAAGTCCCCCTCCCTCACCTCTAGCCCCTGTGCCCCAGCATTTAGACCTTAGCCCGGCCGTGGCCACCCGGGCCCCAGTTCCAGGGGCAACTGGAGGGGCTGGGGATAGGAGGCTGGAAGAGGCCCTGGGGGCCCTCATGGCTGCTCTGGATGATTATCGTGGCCAGTTCCCTGAGCTGCAGGGCCTGGAGCAGGAGGTGACCCGGCTGGAGAGTCTGCTCATGGTGAGGCGGGCGGGTGGGCTGCAGCAGCACGGGGAGGGTAGTCAGGCAGTGGGGGGGTGGCACTGACTCCCTTCATGACCCCAGCAGAGACAAGGCCTGACTCGCAGCCGGGCCTCCAGCCTTAGTATCACTGTGGAACATGCCCTGGAGAGCTTCAGCTTCCTCAACGAGGATGAAGATGACGACATGGATGGTCCTGGAGACAGGTGAGGGGGGCCAAGTGAGGGGGCAGAGGTAAGCTGAGTCCCAGGGGAAGGAGAAAGGCCAGGAGGGGGGAACAGATGAGGTGGGGGCCAGGTAGAACAAGGAGAGCAGCAAGACTGGAGGGGGGGCAGAAGGGGATGCACCTGCCAGCAGGTGCGTCTGTATTCACCCCCACCCCGTGTAGTCCTCGTGTGTCCTTGATGCCTGTTTCTAACCCCTTCTGTGTCCCCAGTACTTCTGACCTCCCTCCTCCTGGTCCCTGCAATGCCTGCCTCTCCTGCTGGTCCCCATCAACTCATGATGCTCCAGCTCCTCTTTCCCCTGGCCTCACCTTGGATCTCCCCTGTGTACCAGCCCTTTCACTGCCTCCCCATGCATCCTGGGTCCCCCAGCATCAACCCCCTCTGTCTCAACGTAGGCTTTCCTGGAGAACCCAGCCCCGTGGCTCCCTGTCCCAGAGGGGCCTTTGCCAAATCCCGGTTGAGGGTTGTGCCCAGCCCCTCCTCCCTCTGCTGCTGCCCAGGTTAGGGCCCTGTGCCCTGCACTCTTTGGGCCATAACTCCTTGCAGTCCACATCGCGCAGACCATCCCGCCTGCAACCCCACTCCCACCCGTCCCAGCCCCAGAGATCCTGGCGGTTGCCGCTGGAGGAGGTAAAAGGCAGACGGACCCTGGACATCCCCACTACCACCTGCTGGTCCTAGTCCCTTCCTCCTTCCGGAAGTCCTCCATGAACTTAACCATTGTCTGTTGTCTGTGCATCGTCTGTTCTTCCATTCTGGGATGGGGTGACCTTAATAAAAGCACACTGATGACCACATGGTGATGCGTGCTCCTGGGGTGACTGACCCCATTTTTCTCTCAGGCCCCCAAACAGCCTGGAGCCTGGGGCTGAGGACAGCCTCGACTTACCCAGTGCCCGCCCCCTCAGCACGGAGTGTCCAGCTCTGGACGCTGCCTTGGTCCAGCACCTGTACCACTGCAGCCGCCTCCTGCTGGTGAGGCTAGTGGTATTCCCCACACCCTCCTTTTATAGCCCCTTATCCCAGGGAGCCCTGCACTTCGATCCCGGCCCTCCGTACCTCCTCTGACTTCCACTCCCCACTGCCCCCAGGGCCCTAGCATTTGGCTCTTGCTGAGTGGAACACCTCCCGTACTCTGGCTACCCACCCCATCTCCATGCATGCTGGGACTTGTAGTCCCTGGGCTCCACCCTCCCCAGTCTTTATCCTGAGGTCTTAGTTGCTTGGCACCCCTATTCTCCAGAAACTGGGCACATTTGGGCCCCTGCGCTGCCAGGAGGCATGGGCCCTGGAGCGGCTACTGAGGGAGGCCAGAGTGCTGGAGGCCGTATGCGAGCTTAGCAGGCGATGGGAAATCCCTGCCACCTCTGCACAGGAAGGTAAAGGCCCTGCCTGCCCCGAAGCTCCTCCCTTACCTCGCCCCATCTACATGCCCATCTGCCTGTGGGTTGCTGATGCTCATCTGCACCTCCTCATAGTGGTGCAGTTCTCAGCCTCCCGGCCCGGCTTCCTGACCTTCTGGGACCAGTGCACAGAGGGACTCAGCCCCTTCATCTGCCCTGTGGAGCGAGTGCTCCTCACCTTCTGCAATCAGTACAGTGCCCGTCTCTCCCTGCGCCAGCCAGGCCTAGCTGAGGCTGGTGAGTGGGCTGCCTACCTGCCCCCTCTGCCTCCTTTCTCGGATCCCCAGTGATGGGACCTCAGGAAAAGCCAGGTCAGCCCATACAGACCTGCTGAGCTGAGCACTAGGAAGAACTAGTGAAGGCTATTTCCTTTGCACACAAGGACCCAGAGGGGTAGGGTTTGGACAGGGGGCCCCTGGACCTGAACCTGGGATGGGAGCATTCTTCCCTGTAAGGGCCTGGGTCCATCCAAACCCTGAGGCCTGCGGCACTGCCTCCCACAGTGTGTGTCAAGTTCCTGGAGGATGCCCTGGGGCAGAAGCTGCCCAGGAGGCCCCACCCAGGCCCTGGAGAGCAGTTCACGGTCTTCCAGTTCTGGAGTTACGTCGAAGCCTTGGATAGCCCCTCCATGGAGGCCTATGTGACTGAAACCGCTGAGGAGGGTGAGGCCGAGGCCCTGATCGCAAAGTGGCTGGACCCCGTGGGTGGGTCTGAAGGTGTGGATGAGAGCATGAGTGCACAAAGGACCCCACCCCACGAGTCGCCGCCTTGTCCCACCCCTCCCTTTCTTTCAGTGTTACTGGTGCGGAATTTGAACTCAGATGACCAAGCTGTTGTGCTGAAGGCCCTGAGGTTGGCGCCCGAGGGGCGGCTGCGAAAGGATGGGCTTCGGGCCCTCAGCTCCCTGCTGGTCCATGGCAACAACAAGGTCATGGCTGCTGTCAGCACCCAGCTCCGGAGCCTATCACTGGGCCCTGTCTTTCGGGAACGGGTGAGAGGCAGGCAGGCCTTCCTTGAAGCAAAGGCTGGGGCCCCAGGCTCCCAGTGTCTGGCTAAGTCTGCGCTCCCACCCTTACCCAGGCCCTGCTCTGCTTCCTGGACCAGCTCGAGGATGAGGATGTACAGACGAGAGTGGCCGGCTGCCTGGCCCTGGGCTGCATCAAGGTAACCCGTGCCAGCCCATCCCCCGCTTCACACCCCTCGCGGCTCCCTCAGTCCTGGGCCCTGGGCCTTTCCCACCTTTCCCACTGGGCCCACCTCGATGTTCTCTCTCCGGTAGGCTCCTGAGGGCATCGAGCCCCTGGTGTACCTGTGCCAAACGGACACAGAAGCTGTGAGGGAAGCTGCTCGGCAGAGCCTGCAGCAGTGTGGTGAGGCTAGGAGATGGGCGATACAGGTCAAGTCGAGTTCGGGAACATTCTGGCTGATGGGAGCTGGAGTGAGATGGAGTCAGGGATGGGAGGGCCGAGATGGGGCTACGATCACTCCTGACCCCATCCTTACCTATTACAGGGGAAGAGGGGCAGTCTGCCCATCGCCGGCTGGAGGAATCACTGGACGCCCTGCCCCACATCTTTGGGCCCGGCAGCATGGCCAGCACGGCATTCTAGATTCCCTCCCCGCTGGCTCCCAGTGCCCCTTCCCCCTCACTTTCAGGGCTTATCAGGCACTGGCAGGGAGGGTGAGGGCTGGCTCCAGACACCTCTCGCCCACAGATTCCCATCAGTGAAAATCTAATATATTCTTCCGTTGCCCTTGGGTTGGCAGTCAGTGCCTGCAGTCAAGTGCCTCCCAGCCTCGGCTCAGCACACTTGCCACAAATCAGTGTCCTACCACATCCCTTGGTTTTATATTTTATTTACAGAGTTTTACAGAAAATAAAAAAGCAAAATTCCTTTCCTACATGGCCTGGCCTGGTGCGTTCCTGACCTCTGCTCCAGCACCCTCTGGCTATGGCGCTTCCTGACACTAGTGTACCTGCACCCCCAGCTGTGACAATGGCATGTGCTTTGGCCCTGGAAATTCAGGCAGAAGAGAGCCCAGAGGCTGGAACTGGGGTTGGGAAAGAGAGCAGAGGAAGACGGTGGTTGCTGACGAGGCCCAGTCTGGAGACCGGGGGTGCCCTGGGCCTGGAAGCTGTGGGCCCAGGCTGCAGCCAAACTGTGGAGCTGGCCCAGAGAAAGCCCAGAGGTGCCAGTCCTGGTAATGGCTCCCTAGCAGCTAGCTCCAGGTGGCCTGGAGGCAGATGAAACCGGCTGCAACGACCGAGGGGAAGACTGGAGCTTCTGGCCAGAAGGGGGCAGCAGAACCCCGTCAGCGAACGGCCAGGCTTCTGGGTCTTCCCTTAGCAGCGGCAGCTTCCTACCAAGGTGGCTGAGATGAGAGCAAGGAGCTCCTGGAGGGCTGGATAGGAGGAAAGGGGAGATCCTTGCAGAGGGGGAGAGCTGGGGCCTGGGAAGCAGGAAACATGAATAGCTGCCCCCGTGACCCTAAACAGCAAGTTTTTTCTCTCCCCAAGCTGCCTCTCCTCTCCGTAGTAACAAACCTGACTGAACCCTGAGCTCCCCACCCCTGACAGTGGGCAGACTGCTGCTTCAGGAAGCAGGGCTCCAGGGAGAGGGCTCACCTCTTCCCAGAGTTGCCTGGCACGTGAGTGTGTTAACCCCAGAAGGTTAAGAATTCAGTGGGGGGTAGGCGGACGGCGGGGATGGGATTTCAGGGTGGCGGGCCTGTTCCAAAGAAGGCTGGAGGGGGCCCACGCCCAAGGCTGGACAACAGGCTCTCTACCCTTCCCCTCTCCCTCTGAGCTTTCATTATTACCCAGGGGCAAGGAAAACAGGCCCTCCCTACTTCCGGAGCCCACTCTGGTGTCTCAGTGCCCGTGGTGTCAGCACACAAGTGGGGCACACTGGGGAAAGTGTGTGCGCCTGCACTCAAGAGGAGCCAATGAGCTGCCAACGGCCCCCTCCCAGGAGGCTGGGGGAGGGGGTGACCCAGATCCCCAGGGAACCCTGCTCCCCCGTGTTTTAGCGCTGTGTATGAGGAGGTTTGGCTGGGCCTTTAACCACCTGCTGGGGAAGCCACGCTGAGCAGAAAAACGGCCAACAGGAAGGAGCACAGGAAACACCTGTGTGTGGAAGCAGGTGGCTCATTCCAGAAGAGTCGGGGCTGAGGTGGGGGTGGGGGCGGGCAGACACTCTCAGCACACCAGCACAGTGCTGTGTTCCCTCTGTAACTACGAAGGGTGGCATGGAGGGGATGGGGGACAGCTTTTTGGGTGGTCGGCTAGAGTGGCAGGGGATGGAGAAAGCAAACAAGTCATGGAGACCAAACCAGCACCCAAAGTTGGCTAGAGCTTGGGCCTGCCCCAAGGGCCCCTGCAGGAAGGTTCCGGTCCCAGAACCACCCCAAGGAGCCCCTCAGGCCTGAGGCCCCACAAGAGGCCCACTGGTAGGGCAGGACTGTCGACTTGGATTCGAAGCGTGCGTAGCCTGTGTGGTGGGGAAAGAGGAAGTGAACACTGGCTGACCAGGTCCTGGGAAAGTGCAGACAGGGGTGACAGGGCCATCACGAGCTCACGGCTCAATCCACAGGAGAGGACAGGGCCTGGGCAAGACGTAGAGGATGGAAAAATATCCCAGCCAGAGGTCAAATGGGGCTGTCACCAAAAATCTGAATGGCCTGCTTTCCAGTGCTGAGAAAGGACAGGGCCCCTCTCTGTCCTCTACAAGGAGAGTCCTAAGACCAGAGCCTAGTATTCAGCTCTAGCTGAGGGTGGGTGTGAGGGTCAGGAGCCAGAAAGAAGACACCGTGAGCAAAGCCAGATACCGGTGAAGGACTGTCAATGCAAAGGCAAGAAGAGTGTCCGGCCTTTGCCTCATCAAGCCTACTTAGCTCAGGGTTATGTGGATCAACCCCAGAACAGCCACTCAGACCCCCTCCCTCAATGCCTCGAGGTCAGGCTCAATGGCCTCCTACACCTAGGCGCGTGTCTGTGGGTAGTGGAGGGCAGGGAGAACCCATCCTCCCTCTTGTATCCTCCCCTCCCTACACACACACAGCCTCACAAGTGCTTCCCACAGGGCACTCCCCCTACCTCCTACACTGCAGCCACTGAATAAGGAGCTGAATCGCTATGGCTAACGTGTACGTTTCTAGCTATATCCTCAATCTCCTTACGGCCTTCTCTGCCACCTCCTCCTCAAGGTTCAGGGAGGCACTCATTCCTGCTGCCCCAGGTGATGGGAGTGGGGGGCTGGTGACACCATCAGGAGTCAAAGGCACCGGGGCAGGGAAAGCCTATGCCCAGCTGTCCCGTGGAGCCTGTGCCAGGCTCTGTGAGGAAGAGGAAGTGTGACACATGGAGGAGCACCCCGTCAATCAAGGCCATCAAGGCCACAGCCACACCTTAGCCATCATCGTTGGGGCTCTCCCCAGACAAAACATAAGTCTGCATTGCAAAAAGGGACCAGGCTGTGGTGGTCCAGGACACAGTTTATTGTATCAGTGGTCACCGGGGCCTCCCGTTTCTCCTCTCCTTCCCTCTTCTAATCTTACCTTTTCTCCTGTCTCCCACTCTTCTTCCTCGTGTTTTCAAAGCTGTAGAGAACAAAAAAAAAAAAAAAAAAAAAAAGAAGGGAAAAAAGGCATGTTTGGGAAGGCAAAGAAGCAGATGGGTTGGCACATGGAAGAAGGACTGCTTCTTTGTCTCACCCACAGAGTGGGGGTGCCTTCCTTGTGTGTTTCTGTGCATGGTGCGTGGGTACAATTTGCTGAACCCTAGGCATATGACATGCTCCCTCCCCCTCCCCCTGCCCCCACCCCCAGACAGCCCTGGAGTGTCCTATTCAGGCCATCTGCCCATCGTGGCTCAGCTGCCGGACCCAGATCTTCTGGGCCCGGGTAATACGGAAGAGTGAGCTTGGTAAGGACTCCAGCTATGGAAAAACAGTCTATCACTTAGAAAATAAGACGGTCATTGGCCGGCAAGAGAGGGGCCTCTTTTTTCAGAAGGTTGCAATGTGGTGGTGGCCACATTTGAGTTTGATGTCAACAGTCAAGTCTCGCTTGTCTCTGAATACACTCAGGGCATATGGACTCCCAGTAAATGCTGACTTAGGGGCGCCTGGGTGGCTCAGCCAGTTAAGCGTCTGCTTTCAGCTCAGGTCATGATCCCAGGGGCCTGGGATCGAGCCCCGGGCTTCCTGCTCAGTGAGGAGTCTGCTTCTCCCTCTGTCCTTCCCCCTGCCCGTGCTCCGTTTCCCTCTCTTTCTCTCTCAAATAAATAAATAGAATCTTTAAAAAAAAAAAATGCTGACTTAGAGCCACTGAATAAGGAGCTGAATTGCTATGGCTAACATGTACGTTTCTAGCTATATCCTCTGAATCTCCTTACAGCCTTCTCTGCCACCTCCTCCTCAAGGATCCTCTTACAAATATCACTCCACAGGATTCCATTCCAGGCCCTTTCCTGTTCTCTCTTGAAACACATTCATCTGTTTCTCTGGCTCCATCTATATGCTAAGGCTGTATGCCAATGATTCACATGGCTCTCTCCTCACTCCCATGTCCAACTGCTGACTGGACACCTCCTTTTGAATAGCCAAGGTGTTTCAAACTCAGCATGCTCAAAATCAAACTCAGTATCTCAAAACCTAGTTCTCCTCCAGGTCTCTTGAGGTTACCAGCTACTCAGCCACACAATCTGTCCTCTCATCCCAGCCACCGGAATCCTCTCAATTATCGCCCTAAATATTTCTAAATTCTGTCCACTCTTTATTAACCCCATGGGCACCACTCAAATACGGGACATGTTGACCTCTTACTGAGACACTAAAACTGCCCCCTCACAGGCTTCCTGCCTCTGGTCTTAACCTTCTTCCATCCATTCTCCATGGTTCATCAGAGTGATTTCTAAAACCCACCGCACAGGTTTTCTTTTCTCCTAGGGAAGAGTCCAGGCCCCTCAACCTGGACACAAAGCCAGCTTCAGTTATGCCACCTTTTTTTTTTTTTAATTTTATTTCTTTGACAGAGAGAGACACAGCGAGAGAGGGAACACAAGCAGGGGAGTGGGAGAGGGAGAAGCAGGCTTCCCGCCGAGGAGGGAGCCCGGTGCGGGGCTCGATCCCAGGACCCTGGGATCATGACCTGAGCTGAAGGCAGACGCTGAACGACTGAGCCACCCAGGCGCCCCTATGCCACTTAACTTCTTGGTCTGCACTGGAGCCTTCTTGTGGGGCTGGCTTGCCCCTCGTGGTATGCTCTTCCCCCTTCATCTTGCCTTGTTAGTGCCTGTTCACCTGAATAGGCTTCAACCTAGACATCACAGATTTCTTCAGGAGCTTGCTCTTCCACTATGCTGCTGTCATGGGAGCCTGCACTTCCCCTAGTCTAGTACTAATCACACCCATTGCAATTACTTATTTTATATCCTCATATATATATATATATACACACACTACCGTGCTTAATGCAGAAAAAGCCTGGACACTCAAAATACCCCCATGTACCCTACAAAGCACAGTGTTTTAGAATGCACTTTTACACTGGGATCCCAATTAAGGAATAAAATGGAAGCCTGAGCATGGTACAATATAGGGAAGGAGAGCTGAGGCTGGACTGGTTGAGGAGGCAAGCAAGTTAAATCCACAGGGGCCAGAGGGAGCCGTTAGAAATGAGGCTGAAGAGGGGCACCTGCTGGCTCAGTCAGTGGAGCGTGCAACTTTTGATCTCGGGATTGTGAGTTCAAGCCCCACATTGGGTGTAGAAATTACTTAAAAATAAAGTCTTAAAAAATGAGGCTGAAGAGGTGGGCAGGGGCTTGTCATAGGGCCTTGTGGAGTGGCTGTGGGGTTTAGAATTTACCCCCAGGGCACTGGAGACCCATCTGTGGGCTGGAAGCAGGGGAATTTTGTGATCACATCTGTTCTTTGGAAAGGTCATTCTAGCAGTTGTGTGGAGAGAGGAAGCAGGAAGCAGCGAGGCATCTGAAGGCATAGTTAGGAGACCGATAGTCTGGGCCAGATGGAGGCAGCAGGGATGGAAAGGCTAGTGAAGAGATGTTCCAAAAGCAAAATGGAAAAACAGTTTGGTGATGATAGGATGTGGGAGGTGAGTGAAGCCCAAGTTTCTGGCCTGGTGATGGCTGGATGGTCATATCTTTCACTAAAAAGGGAGAGCCCTTATATCAGAAGCAGGTTGGGAGGTGAGTAACAAGGCCGGTAAGGTGACGAGGGAGCCTTCCAGGAGGAAGTAACCAGAAAGAAGCTGGAAATGTAGATCCAGGGCAAGAAGATAAGGGCGTGGGCTGGAGGCAGAAGCTTGAGAGTCATCCTTGCTTTACTGTTAAGTCTTACATGACTACTGCGGTGGTCAGTGACCAATCTGTTTCCCCCACACTTGTAGTCATACCTTATACTTGCCTCTCCGTCCTTGACTTTTAGCTACTAATGCTCATGAAGTTTAGTCTGGCCTCTATAGGCTAAGACAAAATGTAAAGCATTTGAGGGCTAGGGACAGCATCTCTCTCCAGTACTACCCAGCATGGGCATTGATCTGTTATCTCAAGCAGTTGCTCAGAACATACTTCTAGATTAAAAATTCATCAGTCCAAACACTTCTGCTATCTGCCTTCCAAATGCCTGAAATTTTCATCATTAAAGCCCTTCCTTTGAGTTAAGGCAATAGTGTCCAACTTTTTTAGGGGCAGAAACCATTTCCTCTAAACTAATCCCATAACATTTAGGGATGTGGGAGAGCATGAGGGAGCAGAGATGCACAGAGCCTTCCTGATAGACCTCCTTTCCCCTACCTCTTGCCCTTCCAAGGCAAACTGAGCTAAAGCATCATCTCTAGAGGATCCCTATAGAAATGGAAATGTTATCGGACAGTGAGGACTTCTGAGCAGCCATTGAAAGAACTGGAAGAAAGGGGGGCTGGGGCTGGAAGATCTGAGCACTCATTTCTGGTTTTTCCAACAAGTTACTGGATGACTCGGAGCAAGTCACATCATTTCTTGAGTTTAGGACAAAACTGTGTCTGGCTCCTCAAACGGAGCTGTGAACATCAACTGAAAGGGCAGACATGAAGATGTTTTGCAAAATGAAAGACGTACAGATGAGATGGATTATTTTTTTTTAAAGATTTAATTTATTTATTTGACAGAGAGAGACAAAGCGAGAGAAGGAACACAAGCAGGGGGGAGTGGAAGAGGGAGAAGCAGGCTTCCCGCTGAGCAGGGAGCCCGATGTGGCGCTCGATCCCAGGACTCTGGGATCATGACCTGAGCTGAAGGCAGACGCTTGACGACTGAGCCACCCAGGCGCCCCGATGAGATGGATTATTAAAAGGTGATCAATGCATGCCTGAAAAATGCAGGTTAGAGCACAGAAAACAAAAGAGCACATCCCCCAGTGTGGGATGAAGGTCTAGGTAAAGTCCTTTAGACTCTAGAAAGCAGTAATTTGAGCTAAGAGGTAAGAAAATAAACATGGCTTTTTACAGGGGTCTAAAGAAAGTAGACATTAGTAAAGAAAAAAATCCTTGTGGTCTGGGTAGGAGATGATAATGAAAGGGCAGGTCTTTAAAATGTTAGGAGAAAGTGGTTGCCCTTGACACTGTGAAAACTTTCCAAATGTCTCGTAAGGTTTAGTGTCCAAAAAAAGGTTTAGTGTCCCTAGTTCAATGGTGTAGAATGACTTGCTGTCTCCCTACATTCTTGTGCCCTTTTATGCTCTTGATTATGGCTCCTTTTCACCTTACATGCCTTTGCCTTGCTTTTTAATGCCTTCTGATCCTTTACCACCCAGTTGAAATGAGATACTCCTAGAGAATGATTTACTCCTTTATCTGTGAATCCACTTCTTCCCATTATAACCATTTTCACAATAATTGTTTTTTGTTTTGTTTTGTTTTTTACCAATCTGACCAGTTAAACTTTGAGTTCAAGGACAAGAACACATTTTGGGTCACTTTTATATCCCCAGTGCCAAGAACAGCAGGTACTCAATAAATGTTTGCTACATTGGATTCTATCTCACATAATAGATACAGACACAACAGGGGTATTCAGGTGTAACTTTAGGTCTTACTCCCAAAGTGAGCAAGAAGATTCCTGCCCTTTTTTTTTTTTTTTAAGATTTTATTTATTTATTTGACAGAGAGACACAGCGAGAGAGGGAACACAAGCAGGGGGAGTGGGAGAGGGAGAAGCAGGCTTCCCGCCAAGCAGGGAGCCCAATGTGGGGCTTGATCCCAGGACCCTGGGATCATGACCTGAGCCGAAGGCAGACGCTTAACGACTGAGCCACCCAGGCGCCCCGATTCCTGTCCATTTTTACTTAGAAAATCAACACCTCTCCTCCATTGTTGATTTTCTTGCTTAAAGAGTTAAAAACAAAAACAAAACAAAACATAAGTGATCGTAATAATTGCAGACTTTACATGGGGCAACGGGGGGAACCAAGGAAGATCTTGGAAATAGAATTGTTTTCTAAGAATTACAGCAGAAAGTACACCTTTCCCAGAAAGAATGGCTCCCAGGCCAAGGAAAGCCCAGTCAGTAATTGATTCTGTTAATGAATCTAGAAAGACCGTGTCCACTAGAAGGATGATTTGGGAGTGAAGGTAGGTAACAAGAAGCATAACAGTAAAATAATAATAGTTTACATTTTTTGTACGATCACTGGTGTCTAGAATTATGCCAAGAGCTTTACTTGCATTTTCTTGTTTAATCCTGTGTGAAGTACAATTATCATCCTATCTCCTAGAGAAGAAATCTGCAGTTGTTATAATTCACCCAAGATCACACAACTAATAAAGAGCCTAGATAAGATTAAAATCCTGGACAATCTGACTCTAGCATCTAGAGAGGGCAATATTAAACATTTAAGTTATATAATTTACATCTCTTAATCTAATCAACTGCTCACCAAGCTTTCTAGTAATTTGGCTTCCCAGGAGGCTCTCCTGTAGGGAAAGAACATGCCTTTTGCCAGCACAAGGACACTGGTCCACTTGCCAGTTAGTAAAGCAGCCCTCTGCTTATCCATCAAGCTCCTGTGAACCCGACAAGTCCCTAAGGAAGGAATACACTCTTACGATACTGACTACATTTCTCGTCCTGCCCATGAGGCTGAGGACTAGATCCTGGAACATGGTGACTTCACGCTGCCATGTGGTAAGATGACAGCCCCAGCTGATAATGCCCTGGACTCCTGTGGACTACAAACCGTAGAGTTCATGAGAAGAATTCTTCCTTAAATCACAGAGTGGTTTTAAATCACCCAAAGTTCTCATTGGTGAGGTAGTCTGGAGTAGTACTGCAGGGAACAAATCTGTCCTTATTTTTATTTTCCTAGTGGTTTCACAGGCTCTCATCATATTACCTTTTGCTCTCAGCTTGTTTCTGTCCAGCCTGAAGCATCCTCTCCTTTTGGTTTGGCTCTCTATTTCTTGGTCTTTGGAGTCAATTCCATGAAATAGGACATATCCCTGTTTCCTACAAGGAGAAGAAAACATTTCCTCTTGTTCCTTTCTAGTGATCCTCAGCATTTTCTCAGCCCTGGGTCAGAATAGCACCTGGGATCTTTGTCTTCAGAAAGCAGGCTCCAAGGCCACTTGGACCCCACTCTTGGCTTCTAACTGATGCTTCAGAGGTCATACAATTGATAGGTTTTTTTTTTAAAGATTTATTTATCAGAGAGTGTGAGCAGGCATGGGGGGAGGGGCAGAGAATCTTCAAGCCGACTTCCCACTTAGCATAGAACCCCGTGCAGGCCCGATCTTGGGACTCATGAGATTACCACCTGAGCGGAAACCAAGAGTCAGACGCCCACCCAACTGAGGCACCTGGGAACCCCTAAAGATTTACTTTCAAGTAATCTCTACACCCAGTGTGGGACTCCAGCTTTCAACCCGGAGATCAAGGGTCACACGCTCTACTAACTGAGCCAACGAGGCGCCCTTGATATAGTTGTTATAAATACAGTTGTCTCAGGCTGCTATAACAAAATACCACTGGCTCGTGGCTTATAAACAACAAATTTATTGCTCACAGTTCTGGAGGCTGGGTAGTCCAAGATCAAGATACCAACACGGTTGCTTTCTAATGAAGGCCCCCTTCTTGGTTCATAGCCGTTGCCTTCTGGATATGTCCTTAACATGGTGGGAGGGACTAGGGATCTCTATTAGGCCTCTTTTACAAGGAATTTATTCTATTTATGAGGGTTCCACCCTCATGACTTAGGTACCTCCTAAAGGCCCCATCTACTAATACCATCACATTGAGCATTAGGATTTCAAATATGAATTTTGAGAGGGACACAAATATTCAGGCCATAGCAGCTGTAAATATCATTGTAAATATAGTTGAAGCTTTTTCCATCTAAATACACTGACTTATATTTGCCCATATTAAAGCTTTAGAAGACACTCTTATAGCTTACTCTTAAAGATAAGGAAGATGGTTGGAAGTAAAGTCTTATGGAAAGTTTATTAATCAGATTATTAAAGGTGCCAGAAAGAAAAAGAAGCTAAGAATTTAAGTGCAAGTCAGCCTTGTTGTTCCCAGTACATAGCTTCTAGGTATACCAGGAGGTGTTTGGGGTGGAGGGCTGAAGAAAATGCAAGATGCAAATATTCCAGAGGTATCTGGTAATTTCCACTAAGTTTGCCTTTATTTTTGAGTCCTCGGGTATATGTAAGAGATAAATGGGATCATTTGGTTTCTAGAAAAAGGGGTCACATGTAAATTTTTCAAATATTCACACATTTCTAGAATATTAAGTGATTAATGAGGCAAGTACCTGAGATTAGGAACCAGAAAACTTGGGCCCTGGTGTTGAGAAACGAAATTATCTCTTTCATGCATGTCTGTACCCAAGCAGCTAAATATTGCTGGAAAAAAACCACATACTAGGCCAACTGGTTTAACTTTAAATTCATGATCACAAACTTCAAATAGGTACCCAATGCTGCCAAGGCAGTCCTACTAGGAAAGTTGTACGCTTGCTCCCCCTACCCTCACCAGCATTTGCGTCAGTCTTCACCTTTATTACCCTAATTATCACAATGGAAGCATCCTGTTCCTATCCAAGGTTAGTCCTAGTTTCCTTATATCCTCTCATGGATTTCACTCCTGTATAGGTCAAGCAAGCCTTCTCTCTCCTGTATCACTCCCAATGGCACATAAACATGCTCCAGAACCCTACCATGTTTTAAAACATCTCTTCCCTTGAGCCCCTATCTTTCCAGTTATCCCTAAATTTCTTTGCTCCCTTCACAGCAAAATTCTCACGTTGCCTACGTGTGCTGTCTCTATTTCCTTACTTTTCCATTCGTTCTCAACCCATTCTAGTGGGGTCCAAGTCTCAATTTACCAACATGAATCAAGTCAAATTCGCCAATAATATTCTCCATTGAATTCCAAGGTGACCAATCCAAAAGCCATGTCTCTGGCCCAAGTTGACCTCTCAGCAGGACTGGACACAGTTGACCACTCCCCCCTACGGAAACCTTCTCTGCCCATGGATTCCAAATTCAACACGCTTGTGGATTTTTTTCTGTCTTCCTGGCTGCCCCCTTTCAGTTTCCTTCTCCATTATCCTATTTCTAAATGCTGGAGTGTCTAGGATCTGGCCTTGGAATTTCTCTTCACTCTTTCCTCCAAGTGATAGCCCACACACATATATATGGTTTAATCAGCTCATACAGTTTAAAAACACCTGAGTTGCTAACATCTAAGTACCTGAAGATTTTACATTACAAAAATCTAGATTTCTGATTCCCTTTTTCAACAAAACCCCGAGAAAATGTCAATATTGGACTGGCATCCTCATAATGGAACAATCAGCTGAATGGAGCAAAAACTGTCTCCTTGATGCTGGGTCCGTTTGTTGTCCGTGACATCTAAGGTATGGGAGTTCAGAATACAGTCCTGAGTCAGATTCCCGTAAGTACCAAAGGCTCTCCTATCTGGGTCACCAGAACATCTTCCAGTCTGCGGTCGGTGAACTTCACTGCTGGTTGGGTAGAATCCGCAGGTGCTTCCTGGGGAGGGGGAGGGACGACCGCACTGTAAGGCTGAAGGGCTGAAGGGCGCCGCCCACAGAGAACTTAACTCTCGAGCAGAGACAAGAAATGTACGTTTTAAAATACAGCATTAAATCACGCCAAATAAGAAAGTCGTTTTGGCAAAAGACCGGTACGGTGGTGTATAAGCATCACATCTGATCTTCCGTTGGCCTTTCTTGGCTGAAGTGGCCTGGTGACACCAAGGGGAAGCCCATGCCTTCTCTTGCACCCGGTTTTAGGAAGCGGAGAGATCCCTCAAAAGCCGCTGGGCAAGGACAGCCCTTCTCGCTTCTCTCGCGGGCGCTGTACAGTTCTGAGGAGCTGGGAGTGTACGGGGACCAGTCCGGCCTTAACACCGTGGCTGGCAGCGGTGGGGAGCTGGGAGGGAGGGTCCGGCCCGGCTAGGGCGGAGACTTGGGCGGGGCCCGGCCCAAGAACCGCCTCTGCTCCACCAACTAGCCCGGCGCGCGCTTCCTCCAAACACCCTGCCTCCCACCCCCAACCCCCCTTTACGGGTTCAGGGCGGGAGACTGCGGCTAGAGAACCAGGTCAAACAAGCCTGGGATCCTGTACAGCCCAGAGGCGGCGGCCTCCGCCCAGGAAGCCCCACCCAGCGGGAGCCCGGACGTCGCGGCGCCCGCAGAGCCCACGCGCGACCGGGCGAGGGCGCGGGAGGGCGCGTGCGGCGTGACGCGACTCGCGGCGCGTCCCGTGACGCCATCGCGCCCGCTTTTGAAAGTTGGCGCCCGGGGCCGCCTCCCATGCTGCCCTGCGCCAACCCCTCCCCTCACCTTTCCTCCCCCGCCCTCCACTCGTCGCCCGGCCGGCCCCCCCACCCGTCCCTTCCCTTATCAGCACCCGCGGCCCCGGCAGCGCCGACGCAGGCGCACTGCACCGCGCCGCCGCCATTTTGTGCCCGAGCCTGTGGAGCGATTAAACCGTGCGCGGAGCTGCTTCTTTGGCGGCAGCGGCGGTGGCGGTAGCCGGTGCGGGTGCGCGGAGCTAGCCGGGGACGCCGGGTGGCCGGAGCGGTGGAGCGGCGGCGGAGCGGGCGCTGCAGGGGGTGTGGCGCGGAGGTAAGGGGGCCCGGGGTGGAGGAGGTTTCGCGGGCCGCCTCTAGGTGTCACGATGGGGCCGCTCCGGTCGGCGCTGGCTGCAGCCCGGCGCCAGCGCCGCCGCCGGGGGGTGTTTGTCTCCCTCTACCGTCCCTGCTGCGGCGCGGCCGCCGCCATTGCCCGTCGCCGCCGCGGCCCGGCCGCCCCCCCCCCAACACCCTCCCGCTAGGCCTCCCTCCTGGCGGCGCGCTAGGCCTCCGGCGGCGGCGGCGGCAACAGAGGCCCGCGCGCCGGCGACTCCATTTTCCTTCCTTTGTCTCTGCCCTCGAGGCCGGCTCTTGGCCCGACTGATTGCCCGGCCGCGGCCCGCCCTCTGCCCTCCGCCCCTCCCGCGGCGGGTGGCCGCAGCCGAAAGGCGATCTCCGTGTCCCGGCTCCCGCGCCCGCCTTGCTGTAGGGTCCGGACCCACTGCCGCCGTGCGCGCAGCCCGGTTTCCGTGTAGTATGGGTGTCGGGCCCTGGCCGACGCCTCTCGGGCTGCCCCTCCTCCAGCCTGCCCGGTCCCCGGAACCTACCCGGCCGCTTTGCGAGCATACCCCTGCCGCTCGGCTGCTTGGCGGTCGCTCCCAGTCCGCGCACCGCCGCCGCTGGTCTCCGTCTCCGCCGAGTGGCGCAGGCGGCGCTGCTGCGGCTGCGAGCAGAGGGACCCCAGAGCTGCCGAGAGCTCCCTCTGCAAGGCTGGCTGAGCTGCTCGCGCCTCGACGCTGCCTGAGCGGGCGGGGGGACGCGCGCTCGCCGCCCCCGCCGGGCCCGGCTGCGCCCCCAAACTCGCGGCGGGGCTCCTCGCTGGACCTGACCGGTGCGGTCCCCCACGGTGGGCGGAAGAGACTCGAGTTCCGCACCAAGTAGTTTTTCTACAGCCAGGGTCGGACTCCCCTTGTAGTGATAGCCTGACTTTGTGCGCTAAGAGATCTCAAAGGGATCAAAACTTAATTTCGTTCTGATCTCAAGTGACGTGACAAATTCCTGAATTCGGGATTATGGGCTGGCTAAGTTGGTTCAGGCGACCCTTGAGTTTCCTTCCCGCTTTAAAATGTCCTGACGCTAACTTAGTACAGTATTTAGTACCTGATGCTTTAGGGCTAGACGAAGGCAGTTCTGCCCCGAGATTGTGCAACCCGATCTAAAGCGTCAGTAGGGCAGAATGAATTTATTCTTGACTCCACTGGTAATTTGCCCATACGCTGAAATACGAGGGTTGGTGTTGTAATTGAATCCTAGGTCACTAGTTGCAGTTGGTTTATAAATATCTACGCCTAATGTAACTACACTTTAGTAGCTGACTTCCTGTAGCCCAGAGTGCAGCATTAAGTAAACATTCGCATACGTAGTCTTCATGCTTTGAGTTTAAATCAACTAGGAAAGTTAAAAATCTACGTCCCCTATAGGCGGTAAAAGAAGTTAAACAGGGCATGTATATTAAATTTACTGTCTTTAACTGTCTTCTTGAATGATTAAAAAACTTCCTGTTGGATTGCCATAGTTTTTTATTTTCCTGAAATGTTCTAGTACTTTAATACAGTATCCTCCAGGAGTTGATGTGTCAGCTCGGGTTGCTTTGGGGAGAGGAAGGTTTTGATTAATTTTTTTTTTTTAAGCTATGTTAAGCGTATGAGGAAATTAAAACAGCCTGGTGCTAAGCAAAGTTGTCGGGTCTGCTGTGTGTAATCTCAGTCTGTAGGATTTTGCAGGAATCTGCCTCTATAGTTCAGCATCTCTTTTTTGAACCCTACAAAACGTTCCTTCTCCCCCTCCTCTCCGGTAAAAGTAAAATTGCACTAACGAATGCAGTAGTGTTGATGAAGTGTTAGGTTTGGGAATAGAACCATGCTTAATTGTCGAATAAATTAGTGCATTTGTGTAATTTTTTGCATTTCTTGAGATTTTTGGTTTTATTTTCCTTTTGACATTGTGGATGGCAGGTGGTCTGTTTTACTTATAAAAATAAGCTCTGTTCGGGTTAAAGATTAAAATCCAGAAGATCTGTAATTGATCCAGGGGCAAAGCTTGTTTTCCCTGGTCAGTGTTGTGCTCCACAGACCATGTTTTGTTTCTTCATTCAGTTCTGCCCTATGCAGTCATCATCTTCTTGGTCTTTCATATCATTTATGCTGTTTTAATGGTATAGACTTTGTCTACAGAGTTGCTATTCTTTGAGGTTTCCTGTATTTCAGGATTCATACTTTATTGGAAAATGAAATCTACAGAGAATAAATTGAGGATATAAGGTTACGCAAAGGAACTTATTACTTAAATCAGTAACGTGAGAAAGATTACAACAGGAATGTTTGCCCACTTAAGAAAATACTGCTTATTCAAGAGGAATTGTAGGGGCGCCTGGGTGGCTCAGTTGGTTAAGCGACTGCCTTCGGCTCAGGTCATGATCCTGGAGTCCCGGGATCGAGTCCCGCATCGGGCTCCCTGCTCAGCGGGGAGTCTGCTTCTCCCTCTGACCCTCTTCCTTCTCGTGCTTTCTATCTCTCATTCTCTCTCTCTCTCAAATATCTCTCCCAAATAAATAAAAAAAATTCTTTAAAAAAAAAAAAAAAAAGAGGAATTGTAAAAGTCATCCTTAGGGGTCTATTCAACCAACGTAAGAAAATTTAGAAGTTGTAAAAGTCATTCTTAAGGTGCATTCCAATTTTTTTTTTTTTTATTCATTTGAGACAGATACAGAGAGCGAGCGCGAGAGCATGAGCAGGGGAGAGACAGAGGGTGAGGGAGAAGTAGGCTCCCCGCCAAGCCAGGAGCCAGACATGGGGCTCAATCCCAGGACCCTGGGATCATGACCTGAGCCGAAGGCAGATGCTTAACCATCTGAGCCACCCAGATGCCCCAAGATGCATTCCAGTTCTAAGAGCTTTAGGATTTTGCTTTAAACAACAGGCAAAATGAGGGAGATCTTTGGGAGTACAGAGGCCACCTGTGGCTGACTAGGGCCTCAAGGAGGAGTCCTGTGGCAGAGCCTTGCACAGTGGTGCCTGCTGGCAAAAAGTCTCCTCTAGAGACTGTTTTGTTTTGTTTTTGTTTTTTGGGTTTTTTTGTTAAGATTTTATTTATTAGAGAGCGAGCGAGAGAGAAACAGCATGAGAGGGGAGAAGGTCAGAGGGAGAAGCAGGCTCCCTGCTGAACCGGGAGCCCGATGCGGGACTCAATCCCAGGACCCTGGGATCATGACCTGAGCCGAAGGCAGTCGCTTAACCAACTGAGCCACCCAGGCACCCTAGAGACTGTTTTGTTTTGTTTTGCTTTAGGGATGGTGCTGGCGTCAAATTCACTCCCCATCATCCATTTTATAGCCTCCATTTCATTTTTTAAGACCAGAAATTTAGTTGATCATCTATCTACCTTATTTACCTATCTTGGTCCCAGATGACTTCAGGCTCTTTTGCTAGAAATCAGGTCCCTCTTCAAACAACTAAAATTTGTCATAATTTAATACTTTGAGAAAGATCATACAGCCTTGGAAAGAACAATAATGGCAAATAATGTGTAACCTTGAAGACCCTGGTTTGCAATTGGATGTGTGGATTTGGCATACCATATTTGTTTTTCTAAACATCCCTAAACTTTATCTAGTCACTATCTTCAAATCTTCCCTGGCAGTATCTTTGTGCATTTTCTTAGTGATTAGTATTTGAGTGCAAAGATGGAACAATGTGTATAGACTGCTAATACATACACCAAGAATAGTGATTTTTTCCATACTTGATCTTCATTTTTATTCATCCTTAGAATGGTGAGGTACATAAAATCTCATCTCCTTTGAGGCATGCTAGTAACAATATATGGACTCCAATACAAAAGTGTTTCTTGGACTAGATACACTAATCCTCAATTCAAGTTGTAAATTGCCTCTTAGCGGAGAAGACTTCTTTAGCTTCATCTAAGAAAATATTATATCAGCTTGGTTTTATGGGCTTTAGTTAATTATGAGATGGATTCCCTTCTCGTTTTACCTGATATGCCAGATTCTTTGGAAACTTTTTTTTTAAGATTTTATTTATTTATTTGACTGAGAGAGATAGCGAGAGCAGGAACACAAGCAGGGGGAGTGGGAGAGGGAGAAGCAGGCTTACCACTGAGCAGGGAGCCCAATGCTGGGCTCGATCCCAGAACCCTGGGATCATTACCTGAGCTGAAGGCAGACGCTTAACGACTGAGCCACCCCGCTGCCCCTATTTTGGATACTCTTTAACTCAATTTTAGCACTTTAATTTCACTTGTGAGTCTTCCTTCCTTCCTTCCTTCCTTCCTTCCTTCCTTCCTTCCTTCCTTCCTTCCTAAAAGTTCCACTCTACTGTTGCCTGAAGCTTGAAGCTTGACAGTTCATTTATTTGTAATTTAAGGAGGAAAATGTCAGCTAACAAAAGTATTTTCATTGCTATGCTTCTAGGAATTTCAAGTCAGTGAAAGCTCTCTCCATAGTTATCTTAATTAAACTGAAAAATACAGTCTTGTGGTGTAAACTACCTTAAATCAGTAAAGCCACTACTTGCTGAAGATAAGGCAATGATACTGTTAAAGGACTATTACTATATAAGAATTAATTTTTTGTCAGCTTGAATATACATACATGTGCCATTGTCTGCTTGCAAGATCATAATGGTGTACTTTTTTTTCTTAAGATTTGATTTTTTTTTTTAAATACTCTCTATACCCAACTTGGGGCTCAAATCCAGAACCCTGAGATCAAGAGTCGCGTGCTCCACCAACTGAACCAGCCAGGCACCCCACTGGGGTACTGTTCTGATAACTACAGATCCTTTATATATTAAGCAAATGTCTAAAAAATAAGTGTCAGTGTTTTATTGGCTTGATAGAATTTATGGAATGCCTCATTTAGTAATGTGACCTGTTAACAAGTATATTGTTTCTTAACCAATTTTATCAGTTTTCATCTTGCCCTCATTTTGCTTTTCATATTATATGTGCATTTGTGTATATTTGGTATTCATAAAATTATTTGTGTTTCTGTTTTAGAATGATCACACATCTGGACCCAAAGAACAAGATGCACTAGTGGACAGATTGCTAACCAGGGGCTTGAGAGTTCTGTTTTCCCTCCTCAAACTGACTTTGCAGTCACGGAGAGGTAAATGCTCTTTCCATTTCTTGGTCTCGAAAATAAGAGTAGTACATCCTTTCTGGGGTTGGAGGATTTGCTATATTGTTCTTGGGTATAGGAGATGGAGGACAGTGGGGTGATTGAGGGCATACAGGTTTTATAGTTAGAGTCCTTGGTTTGGAACTGTACTGCCATATACTAGCTGGGTGACACTGAGCAAGTTACTTAACCTTTCTACTCCTGCGGTCCCCATTTGTTAGAGAACAACACCAGTTACAGAGGCTGTTCTCCAAGTTGATGAGAATGTGTGTAAAGCATTAAGTACCATTCTGAGTGTGTACATAGAAAGACCCCAGGAAATGGTTGTTTTTCTGCAGAAACCCTTGGAATATATTTTTTAACTACTGGTAAATGACCTCAAAAGTCCACGGCCTAGGGCAATATGAAATTTTGATGGAATCCTGTTCTTGGGGAGACATCTTAGATAAAAGTTGTCTTAGTTAACTTGAGTTAGCCTAGCTGATGACCCATTTTTCCATCAGTTATAGTCATTACGAATAACTTTTAAAAACGTTTTAAAGTGTCACTTAAAATTTACTGTAGCCTACAGTGTCTGTT